CTTTCTCACAGTCGGGGCTGAAAGCCGACAGCTCGCTGATTCTGATCTGTCGGCGGGTCGGCGCTTTGTGTTCACGCCCTTTATGCGCCGATTCTAAAGCTGTTAGTTTGATCTCTCTCCAAACAATATTGACTGAACCAGCAGCAAAAGAAGATCCAAACGCTTCACATAAAATCGTCATGAATTCACTCTGACTTTTACTGTTTTGCTTCCACCGCGATGCACAGCTCTCTCTCTCTCTCTCTGTACTTCAAGAACAGTTTCCCTTTCGTCATTATTCGCTTGCTTGTTACGCACCAGTCTACTGTTGTTTACAGCACTGTCGGCCGCTGTTTTTTTTCCCTTTTACATTCTTCCGAAAAGAAAACCTAATTTCTGCTGTTCAATACTGAACAAATTTAAACTTTTTAAAATTATTCAAAATGCAAAACGCTTAACGTGTCTCTAATAAAACCGCTGTAACTTCAGAGGTAATGTTCATATGTTGATTAATGGTTTTCTTTCGTTTTTGATGTACTGCAGAATATTTTTATAAAATTCCAGAACAGGAAAACCTTCATGTTTTTCTGTGTTTTATCTTCAGCTACTTTGACACAAAGGCATCTGCTGTGACGCTTACACCTGTGATAAAGTCTTGTGTGTGTCAGCTTTCTTTTTATTGATACAAAAATATGTAAATGTACTGATCTGAATTATAATATTTCTGACTGTCAAAATTTCCCAGATTAAAATCGAATCGAATTAAATCGAATCGTGGATCGAATCGATTCGGGACCTTGTGAATCGGAATTGAATCGATTCTAGAAATCAGTGACGATACCCAGCCCTAATTGAGAGCCTATTAAAATAGTTCAGTGTTACAGTATTGTGTTGTTGTTGTTTTTATATTTTCTTTCGTCTTCCTGCAGAGTTTGCAGGTGGCTCAGAAGGAGGCTCAAATCAGACTGCTCGAAGGCCAGCTGAGACAGACAGATGTGATTGGCTCGTCCCACAATCACATGATCCTCGATGCCCTAAGAGAAAAGGCTGAGTGCATCCCCGAGCTCCAGGCTCTCATCCACAACGTACAGCAGGGTAAGAGAGGACTCCTGTGCGTCATGTGGTGAGACAAAGGAGAAGGAAGACATAAAAAGTAGAGAAGCTGCACAGTTGCCCACTTTTTCTTTGTTCTAGTTTCTTCTCACACATGAAAGTGCTGTGTTGCATCATAGCAGATGGACTGTGTTTAGCCCCATTGCTTCTTGGTAAAGCATAAAGAAAAATAAACAACAATGTTTTCGATTCTTAGAAAAACCATATGTGGATTCAGTTTTAGTGTAGGAATACTACATATGCCTTGGGAATTGTGTCAAGAAGGGCATCTGTTGTAAAAATCATCCAGATCAAATATGCGTACCTACCCACTGTAGGGATCCTCGTGAATAAGGGGCGCAGAATGTGGCATTAGGGCATCCTGTGGCACCGTGAGACATAATGGTGTTTTGCTTCCAGAGAATGGTTATGCGAGCACAGATGAGGAGCCCTCTGAATTCAGCCAAGCCTCCGACAGCAGGTGAGCTGTCTTTCCTACACAACATCATACAGCGTATCTTATAGGGCTCATACCCATCGCTCTGACCCATTTAAAAATTCGCACACACATCTATTTCAGTAAAGATTTCTGCACATGTTCACGTTTATCTTTCCTCTCTGCCTCCAGCGTGTCTCAGATGAAAGAATCGAACAGCCAAGATGACTTCAAAACAAAATTACAGCAGGTTTGTGCTGTTTCTTATAAGGTTTTTTTTAGTTCCTATGCACATGCCATAGTGCCATTCTTGTTTGTGACCATGAGGTGGCAGTAGAAGCAAACACTTCAAATGACTCCCAGAAGCTTAGAGGCATAAGGATTCCTCATTTGGCACAAATCCCTCTTATTAGTCTGCTAAAGTTTTGTTTTTCTCTTTCTTCTTGCTGACCTAGAATAATAACCTAGAATGACTTCTGCCGTGTTTGTTTTACTGCTCTTCTTCTATTTTCTTTGTGCTTTTCCCTGCTGAACGATGTTCTCAGGCTGTATATATAATCTCCCTTTGCACCTTAATTACAATCATTGTTTTTCTCTTTATTTCATGCCCCAGTTTTTTCCCCCTATCCAAGCATCCTTCTTCTTCTGTGGTCCTCTGTAATAACAGCGGTTCATATTTTTCATCCAGATGGAGCCCCGTCTCTCAGCTCAGATGAAGGCGGTGTCAGCAGAGTACCTCGGTCCAATCCTGGACCCCTCATCCGGCAGCAAACCGCAATACATCACCAAGTCTCTGGCTTCACTGACGGACATCCAGGAGGACGGCCTGAGTCTTGCTCCAGGGAGCCTTGGGCTCAGCCTGGCATTAAGAGACACGTATCACAGGGACCGGGTATCCCGCACCATCAGCTTGCCTGTGAGGGGTCACACCTTGTAAGTCACTGGCAGATCATAGTGATAACTAAGATGAAGCCCTGACTTTTCTTTAAGTCTTATCAGTATGTGGAACCAATGAGAGGAATGATTGGCTCTAGTACTGTCATCTTGTGTGAGATTGCATTTGTCATTATCCACTATATATACATTGTGAGCATCTCTTTTAGCTTCTCGTGAATATTTTAGCCATTGTTTCCATCTTAAAAGTGACTACACTTCATGTAATATAAATCAGTGCGTGCAGAATTCATATGATGAGGATATTTTGTTTCTAAATCTAATATTCATTTCTGTTTTTTGGTTTTTCAGCATCAATAACAAAAGTTTTCCTTTTGCAGTCATTTACTAAAATGTGTGAAATTTTGTGAATCCTGCACAAGTAAACATCTTCTGAAAATCAGAAAATAGAAAGCGGTTTATCAGGTATTATTCTGTTTCGTGGCAGCAAAAACAACTCAGGCGAATTGCCACGAGTCCTCAGTGATGTGTGTGATTTGATATTTGAAGAGATTAGGCTGCTAGAAATGCTTTTAAACTGCATAAACCTTGCTGCTTATCGAGTCCCAACAGTTCACATAGATGTCTGTCATCCTTTCTGTGCACTCCCCTGAACGTTTGCTTAGTTTGCTTGCATTTGTCTGTGTGTGTCAGTCCCAGGCAGTCTCGGGGCTATGACACTTCCCCCCTAACCAGAAGGAAATCTTACGACCGTGCGTACAGGTACATGTAATGCTCATTTCGCTAGCAGATGGATCGCACTTTGTTCTAGCAGTTTATTTACACAGTGGGACTCTTTAACTTCCTCATCCTAAACTCCACCATCTTTCTGCCCCTTGTCAGGCCGACTGATGGCTACACTCCCCCCTCCTCCCCTCCTCTGAGGACCAGGAACGACCGCAACGTCTTCTCGAGGCTCACCAGCAACCAAACCCAAGGTTCTGCTCTGGACAAGTGAGTGCAGATCCATACGCACAAACGCCACCTGTGTCCATCAGTCGGTCACGCTTTGAAAGATTCCCATCCTTTTTTCTTTTCTTTTCTTCTTTTTTCCCTCTTCCATGTTTTACCTCAGTTTTTCTGCAGACAGGCTGAAGGTCAGGCCTTTTTGAAGGGAAAGTGGTTCTGTCAATAATTTAAATAAGCCTTTTAAGAATGTTCACTACTAGCTTGCCTTCATCTGAATCCCTTTCTTAGATAAATCCCTTTCTTCTGGCATTAATGTGAAACCCGCAGAAACAGATGTTGCAGGCAGTCTTGGAATCCAGGTGTCAAACCCAAACCGCAATCTATTCAAACCTGCGCGTAGCAGCGGTAACAATGAGGTGTAATTGCAGTAGGCTTCCAATTCGCATACAGAAATTACCAGGAGACAATGGCAAATCAGGAGAGGGGTGTGTGGGGGGGGAGCTCAGATGGTAACACCCACTGCTCAAATGTGGTGTCAGGGCAGCAGTGGCTGGGAAGCAACCAGGATGTGGGATGATATGAAATCAGTTTTGAGGTGACGTGCTGTGCATGACAATGATCTTCGTTCAGGAAAGAGAAATCCGCCTGACCAATCTTATATCATCCAATATAAACAGCCCTGTAATTAATCTTATCTTACAATACTGGGTTTGTTGAGGCTGTGCATGACAAAACTTAATTCAAATTTATGATAATTTCCGAGGATGGTGTCAGCCGTGATGTTGAGCGGTCCCATTCCTGATGTCATTTTTTTTAAAAGGTAAAAGAATTATAAAACTCCGCTCAGCGTGTATTTGTGTAATCTTACTACATCGGATTGAGGGAACATGTGGGCATGAGATGCATGTTGATGCAGAGTCGGGAAGGAGCAGGCGGTCTTGTTTCCTTCCTGCTTACAATCAATTCAAACTTTCTGCTCTGACAAATGTCAGCAGTTGATTTCAGCCTCTGCTCTAAAGTTGATTTCTAATCTGTGCTAATCCACAGCATTTCTCATCTTTATTAACATCTAATTGGCAGCAAGGATGCTGTGTGAAACGAGTTAGGGTGTCGTGGCTGTGCGTGCGTGCGTGTGTGCTTTATGTGGGTTGCGTGTGTTGGAGCGTGTGGGTACTGATTATCCGGAGCAGGGGTAGGTAAATGAGATGGCTGTTGCCATGTTTCTGTGCAGCTGTAGGATTTTTCCAACTTGGAATGGGAGATGTTTTTGTTTAGGGTCTTAATAAGCTACCCAAAGCTTTGATTTCAGCACATCAGTAGATTGCTGATGTTGTAGTCACATAATTTAAGTTTGCTCAGTCAATACTGGAACTGAAAAAAAGGCTGAAAAAAGTTCCCATTTGATATGTTGTCAGGTATTCTGATTGTACTGTACACCTGTGCACACAGTTGCGGTTGAACACAAAAGGCAAATTGAGTGGGCTCATTGTTAAATCTAGTTTTGTTGTACTGCTTTGTGAAACGTAATCCAGACATTGCTGAGATTATTGCAAACAATGCATCTGGAGCCAGTTTGTTGGCATTCCTTGTATAGACATTGTGTTGTATTTTCACATACAAGATTCCTGGGAAAAATCATTTGGACTGTGTCTGCAATAATCCTGTGTCATATCTAATACACAGTAATAGTTAGTGTTCTTTACTCTGTTTGGTTTAGACAAATGTGCTGCTCGAGTGCTTTTGTAAAAAACTCTCTGAGGACTTTAACCAAACGTTCACAACTACGGTGACCTGCATGGTTAAATAAAGGTTACGCTGACTAGCCATACCATCTTGTTGCTCGGTGGTAGTCCAGCTTCGGCAGCACATCGTACGTACAGTGTTTAACAAATTTGTTAGACCCTCTGTCATAAAAACAAGAAAACCCAAATAAATCTTTTTAAAACGAAAAATTACCGAATTACTGTTTTTATATCCACATGGGATTTCTCTGGGAAATGAGTAATTAATCAAGCATGACGTTCAAGCACTAAAACTAATTATTCAGGAATGTAAGTAAACAACAGCAACTTTGCATCTTATTCACAAAATAATAATGCGCTTGTCTAGTTTTTCTGCTTTTTTAATATAAACAATAAATCTGGAAAATTTTAGATAACAGCAATAATTATATTATGGTGGTATAATTTTCATTTTGATTAAAGAGCTTGAGCATACTGGTGGCTTAACCATTACAGAATCATAAAATATGATTTTGGTAAAAACCAGTACTGTTAATTTAGCATAAACTTTACAATTGATGGTGGTCTAATAAATGTGTTGAGCACTGGAGATCTTTTCGGCGGTTATATAAATCAATGAAAATGTTTTCTTTCTATAGCACTTTAATTCAATAGCTGTCGTTCATGAAACATTTTTTACTGTGTTTAGGTGTGATAGACAGGAATATATACTGGCACTAGTTTTGATGGGAAAAATGTGTTTGGAAGTTATGTGTGTGTTTTGTTGCTTCTTGTTTAAAAGCAAGCAGTGGGTGCAACACTTAGCAGAGGTCTACTGTTTGAAATCTACATTTGATTGACATCACTCACACTTTCTCTGTCACTTAATTTCTCATCTCGGACACACATTTACAGCTTAATCCAGCAATATATACATAAAACAAACCCATTAAAATGTGAGATGTGATTTTGACTGGACTATATTGTGTTTCTGTTCTTTCACATTTGAGTAGACTGGTTGCCCAAGAGACTGGGATCAAGTGTTTGACACTGATTTGAAAGGCAAATGAGGACGAGGAATTTCAACCAAAGTTTCCTTGTCATGTCTTGGATAAAAAGGCTTTGAATCGAATTCACTTTACTTTTACATGCTCCATAATCAATAAATTTTAAAAGTATTTTAAAGGGAGTCAAATCGCTCTGTGCTAATAGCTACTACGGCTGGCAGTAAATGCCAAGAACGGGAAGAATTGCCATCACCTTTAAACACCGCTGTTCCCTCCGGACATATCCAGAACTTTCTGTTTTATTATTTCATGCTAAGAGTGAAAAGCCCGGGCCCTCTTAGTGAGAAACCAGAGGCTATAAAATATTTACAATATAATAACACTTTTATTGCATTGTTACACACATATCATTATTTCCCTTTAAGCTCTTTGGGAGGTGTGGGTGTGGCCTAGAAATTTGTTTCCCTTATTGTCTAGTCAACTGGATTTTCCCTTCTGTTAACTCTGTTTGCCATCCTTGATGCCTTTTCTGTACTAATTAGCTAAATGTGGCAGGAAAGAGTGGATTTAGGAGGACACACTGACATCATACTATAGTCATGCGTAGAGGACAGGACAACTGTAATCTTTGCGTATGACTATCCTGCCGTCAGTGCTTCCTCCTTGACTGTCTTTCGTTTTCTTTCAGGTTCTTTGTTCACACAGATACTTTCATATTCGGGGAAAGTCACTTACTTGCTTTCTTGGATCGCATTACGCGACAAGATTGCTACCTCTAGCATGTCACAGCCAGTAGCTGTTAGCCAGACTGCTAGCCATTGGAAACAGCTAGCTCACCGTCACCGCAAAGTCTCATTAATCTGGACATTACTATATATCTTGTTTGTTTAATTCATACAAAACATAATCTTATTAATCTCAAGTGTCTTGAGGTTTATTATTATTTGCAGTATTTTTTTGAGAGGTGCTTTAGAGGTGTTGGTAGACAAACGTTGCCCTTCAAGACTATGCTAAGCTATTAGCTGCTAGTAGTAATCGAACTGCGAGACTCGGAGAGGTATTAGTCTTTACATCCTGACACGTGGTGCAAAAGTGAATAATTTTTTCCCCAAACATGAAACAGTTTCTTTAAAGCTTTCTGTGCAGACACTGGTCAAACAGTAAAGCCTGTTCAGTGATTGTCTTTGTGAAACAGCACCTTTCATGGCGAACCACGCGATAATGGCAGAGCAAGCTTTACTGTTGACCAAGCTTTCCTGTCAGTTTGCTCATTGCTTTATATCTAAAATCCCTTCCACTAGTCACGCCTCTCCTTTTTAACCCTTTGCCAGTAACCCTTCTGTCTTTTCTTAGCGTGATTAACCCTTTCCTCTTCCCACCTTGCCCTCCCTCCCTCTCCCTTGCTCCTCTTCTGCCTCTAGGTCGGATGACAGCGACTCCTCGCTCTCAGAGGTGCTCAGGTAGAGGAACCGTATCTGTCTCTCTCTCACTCTCTGTTTTCCCATTTGCCTGTTGACTCACTCGGTGTCATCTCGTCTCCACCAGTCGTCAGCGCCTCACCTGGCCTCTTCATCTCCACCTTCATATTCCATCGGTTGTGCATGTTTTAACCGCAGACCACTTCTCTTGACCCACCCAGGCTTTTCCATCGCTGTGATCTTGCATTTGTGGTCACACAAGTGAACCACACCACTTTTTTTTCAGGCTGAAGAAACTGGTGGAAATTAAAGTAATTACTCCTCTTAATGGTCTCCATGGTCAGCCACTTGGTAAATTCAGTCTTGTTAAAGGACAGAGGATTGATAACATATGAGTTAAATGAATATTTGAACGTCTACTTAATAGACACTCATGCATGTCTATTAATTGCGTAGCTGGACTCTGCAGTCATTTAGCTACGTTTAAATATAAGAGTGAAAGCTGAAGCGTAGCAATTGCAATTCATGTTTTTACAGGGCTTTTTGTCCCTACCTAATTCTTAACCTAAGGAGCCCAGTTTGCCAGCTAACCAGAAGCTCTTTATACAGATCTAACACAGTATTTATAATAATTAAAAATAACTTTGATCAAACTCTAGATGTGTTTGTGCTGGTTTTGCGTATGACAGTATTCATTCTTTCTTAGACAAAACAAAGCACACCATTTTGAATTTTAACAGATTTAAGTAAGCAGTTGCTAGAAGTGGCTTCCTGTTTAGCTGCAAATCAAATAAGCATCCATCCATTTTCTTCAGCTTATCCAATTCAGGGTCAGGGGTGGGGTGGGGGGTGGGGTTGTTTGAGCCAATCCCAGCTGTCATGGGGTGAGTGGCGGAAAGACCACCAGTTCATCACAGGGCTAATACAGAGAGACAGGCAGTCATTTACACTCACATTCACACTTATGGCCAGTTTAGTGTCACCAGTTAACCTAACCTCCTGCATATCTTTGGAAGCTGGAGTACCTGGAGAGTCTCACACAGGTAGAAACTGCAAACGCCACACAGAAAGCTCTCTACTGGCTGGTGGATTCAAACCAAGGACCTTCTTGCCACCTTGTGTCCCAACAAAAAAACATATATCCCAAAACCTCAATTAATTTCATTAAGACAAACACATGGGCCTATATATAGTTTTTATCGGGCATCTGTATTCCTTTTAGTCACACACACAAATAGATGCTCCTCTCACCAGGACCCTTCTGTCTTTTTTTCTGTGCACTGCAGAGAGTCCCTCCCCTCTCGCATGTTTTCATTAGTGCTGGTCTCTTGGGTCTTGGCCCTGCAACATCCATTAGCAGCTCTTCCATGCTGCATAACACACTATAGCACACGATGATATCTTCCATGTATGCTGATAGAACTGAAACAATTTCTGCTATTTGGAGCATTGCAGTGCCATCAGAAGTAGAGTGCTGCTCGTGCAGCGTGTGCCGTACGTCCTTTTTCGAGGAAAATGAGCGAGCGAAAGAGAGAGACTGAAGAAAATATCCAGACTAATCAACTAATGCTATATGCTTTGTTTTAATTTATTGTCAGGTCACCAAAGTAGCTCGGTTAAGCTAAGATTCTATTAAGAAAGGAAATAAATAGTGTTTCTGGTAATTACTTTAGATTAATTTCCATTTTAATCACAGAGAATGGAACATGAAGACTTTAATCAGGCAAAATAATGGGCTAAAATTAGAAAGGTTTATTTAACTAAAACCCCTTTAAAGATAAATTTATGAAACATACATATTTAATCCCTTCCTCTCTTCCCCATATATTAAACATAGATTGCTTTTCTTCTTCTTTGTAAACTCAAACCAGTCACCAGTTTTCTGACATCACCTTTTCTAAAGGAACTGAAGTTGAAGAGAAATGGGTGGGGCTGACTGTGTTTGCACCATAAAGCTGCTGTCACAGTCTGACTTTATATCTGTATTCCTAATCAGACTAATGCTGTCGTCTTGTCACACCTCACCGCTCACCCACATGTGTCACATAGCCCTTTTTCCTGGGCCCCAAAAGGGCATTGGCTCTGGCGTTGCAGAGAGTCAGTTCCCATCTAAGCGATGGAGAATGGACTCTGCATGTGGTGCTGCTGACGTCTCGGTGTGGTGGGGTTTATTTTTGAGTTCCGGGCTGCTGTGGAGTTGGTCTTCCAGGCTGTGGCTGCTGTCATCAATTATTTTGAGCTTCTTGTGTGCAGTTTCTTTTTTTTGTTTCTTTGGGGAGGTGAAATTTGGCAGATGTGCATGCGGCTTCTTTTTACTTGCTGATGAATGAGACTTTTGACTTTGGTTGGCGTTCTGAAACACCGTAACAGACATACCAAGTATGATTTGCGGTTTCACTTTTGATTTGACTTGTGTATTTATTTGTGTGTGTGTTGTCATGCTGGACATGAGCATCCGTGCTGTGAAACAGAAGATGAGCATGTTGTCACCCTTGACAAGTTTGAAGCACACCCTTCTGTATTTTGCTCACTCCGTGCAGAAACAAATCTGTCCTGAGTTTTGTGTGCATATTCTTTTCTCTCCTCACATCCTCCGGCTCCTCTTCAGTGTTTTGCCTCTTACTTCACCCTCTCTTTCTCTTTCTTTCTCACACACACACACACGCGCACACGCGCGCACACACACACAC